TTGCTCTACTGTTTTCTGATAGATAAACATCAGTATAGTGAACTAATTTTTGGACTGCGAGGGTTTCTGTTAAAAGCCATTCTGCTATGTTTTTTCTTGTAACGAGAAATCTCCGTAGACCTTCGAAAAACATCCCCCCCAAATTCTCTAGGAGATTTCAGCAAGTAATAAACAATCTGCTATTTTTGCCTGCGTCAAAAGACTGGCAGTTTTCTCGATAAGAATGGCAGCCTAAACGTTTGTCTGGTTACCCCTCTGCCAAAAAAAGTTACAGAATTTGCACGAAAATATCTGTAATGCACAGACCGTGCATTGCGCATTCACAACAGTTTTACTGAGTCAATAAACCCACCGTTCTTCAGAAAGGGCATGATATGATGTACGACTTTTGGTTTGTAGCTTTGAAATAATTGTTTTATAAAAAAATCAGGTACTCAAAACATCTTACTTCATAGTACTTGTTTAAGGCACAATGTGACTGCAGAAATAAGAGCTCTCTGCATGATGTAGGTAAGGATGATTGCTGGTAAAAAGCAGATTATAGTCAAGGACAGTACCATCCGCCTATTCATTCGTCGTCGGCAAATGCCATTTTAACCAAAGGCGTACTCCAAGATGTCAAATAGTACACGGCAACTGACCCTTTCCGTCGTCGACCAGCAGACTTGTCATTCTCAGAGTATACTGCCTATTCTAACCTTCAGGTGTCAAGAGTTCTTGGAGGCTGCTATCCGCACGACTTGTTCTCATAGCAAGTTCTTCTCGCATATGACCAATTGGTCCGACTTCGCAGACCTGTGACAAAATGAACATCCGTAATCAATATATCTTCTGGCGTACAAAAGCTTTCTAATCAATTTTCTACTTAAAACGGTGCATTAAGCTGATGAGGGTCTAATATAATCCCTGTGTGGCTAATCCGACCGGAACAACAACAGTAATTTGTAGCGTACGATGAAATAAAATTGTCGTCGTGTTGACTATGGATTGCTTTCTTTCATCATGCTTATGTTCGGCGACTGGTATGTTATAAATAATTTTCCAGATATTGACCTTAAAAATGTTGAAAAAACTAACTAATGGCTCATGTCGCAGTTCGTTTACTGATAATTCGCGTAAACGCTTTAAGTCGACGCCTGGCAGGAACTGCTTTGGCATCTCCCTTGCTGGGTGAGACAGCAAAAAGTCACAGTATGCGACAGGTAATCCTTCAATATTTGCTTAGGCTTTTTGGTCTTCAGTGGAGTGAAATATAGTACTGCCAAAAACAAAATAATATGCCATTCACAATGCGTCCTACTACTGATTCAATTTCTACCATGACATGTCTTGAGTGGCGCCACACTTATCTATGACTTTGGATGTATTGACTAAAAATAATTGTGCCTATATGTGATTCATAGCCCGTGTGATTTTCCTGACACCCCTTGATAACCTCATTTAGACAGTGCCCGTATAGTTTTCACTTTGACCGGCTAGACATGCGGAGTTTGACGGGTTTAAAGAGCTCCTGGTCGTGTATTCCAGTCTCCCGAAGCCTTCCCCTTTTTGGTGTGTTTAGGCCACCGATCATTTTGTCTGTGGTAGAAACAGGTTTTTAAACTGTGCCTTTTTCAAATTAAATGAAGGATAAGGATAGGTTGTGCAATCCCACTGGGTTAAGCATGTATAGGTGACTACCACATTTGTTTTAGAAGAACTTGTTTTATCTATTAATCCATAGCCACAGAAAGTCTCCCTTTCTGTGTTATATAAAACCCTGATATAACCGCATGTACCGAGTTGTTTCAGTTTGAACCTTTTAGTGGTAGATAATTTGGTACGATGTTCTCGCTCACACTCCCCGTAATCACTTTGTCTTACCTTGAGTTCCTAAGTAACCCAATGTACTTGCATTGCCTTTCCTTGTCGATTTCGTACGCCGTGACTTACTTATTTCTTCCGGAAGAGTAGTTAAATCTTTTCTATGCCATGTCGGCACTCACCATCCTATGCCTGCCGCAAGGATCACCGGCTACGTTTTAGATTACTTTACCTCGGTTAAAACATAAACGTCCTGCTTCATCTGAACGGATTCATTTGTTGAACGCATACGCCTGATTTTTTTTTTAAGAATACGTGTGCTGTCTGATAAACAATATCAAGACAATCAAACTTAGTTGAGAGGTGGGGTTACACAACTCACAGTTGCCAAATGAAATTCTAGGGCGTTTTGATAAACACCGTCCGACTGGCTGTCTGTGCTCATCATGTCCTCCGCCACTACAGATGTTGTCAACGCCTTTTTCTGCCGCTATTTTGAAGTATAAAGGCGGAATTTCGAGTTCCAGGTGTATGCATAAGTGAAGAACACCTCATGAGGCTGTTTGACTTCTGCCAACAAACTTTCTTCACTTTTGCGGGAGGGACCTAGGAACAAATCAAGGGAACCCCAATGGGCTCACCAGTCTCCGGTTTAATGGCAGAACTTGTCCTACAGGAGTAAGAAAAGATTGCCTTCATTCAACGTGAACTGGTATTTTGGCGCCGGTACGTAGACGACACGTACTTCATCGTAAAGAAGGACATGCTGCAACATTTTTACAGCCTGCTCAACGCAGTCTTCCCTGATATAAAATTCACGAGGGAAGAAGAACAGGAACAGCAGTTGCCCTTCCTTGATGTACTTGTCAGACGAAACCTTAACGGTGAACTTGAAACGACGGTTTATAAGATGGCAACGAACACTACAAAACCTCTCAGTTTTCACAGCAACCGTGCGGTGGCTCACAAACGAAGCTGTGTAAAGACGCTCTTCAAAAGGTTCCAGACTAATTGCAGAAAACCGGAGGACAGAGCCCGTGAGGCCCGTTATCTCCGCGACCAGTTTGTGCAAAATGGTTATCCGAGGGCATTCATAGGTCTCTGCCTACGCAGTCACCACCAGAGAACTCGAAAATCAACGCCACTGACGATATAGCATTCGCTGTCATACATCAGGGGCGTTTTGGAAGCAAGAGAGCGCATTGCTACGGAGCTAGGTGTTGGATTTGTAAACCGCCCTAAAGCCATGTTGCGCAATAGCGTCATGAAAATCAAAGACCGGTTAAAGCCTGATGAGAAATCTGGAGAAGTGTATCGCATTCCGTGTCAAAATGGTCCTTGGAACTACACAGGATTAACTGGGCGCATGCTCCGATCGCGCATACACGAACATAAACTGGCTGTGCGACGAGGCGACGCATTATCACAAGTGGCCGCTCATACCTACGAAATGGATCTCGAGTTTAACTTCGCAGCCACCAAAATAGTCCCCACGCTTGAAACAAACAGGCCGAGAATTGATTGAAGCCTGGGCCTCGGATGAGAACTTGGTCAATCGATTTATCCATCTGGCGCTGGTGTACAGAGCCCTGCGTAGTCACCTACAGTCTTGCGCCGTCGGTCGATGATTGGCCTACACGCCTTATAACTGTCGTTTTTCCTGCTGCTGCCGCTGCTACCGTTGACGATGACTCCTGTACGAGTTTGAAAACTCAGGACATTAAACACAGTGTTCCGTTGCTTGAATCGTCTTCTTCTCCTGTTTTTCTTCTTCTTCACAGTAAAGTATTTTATCTCTATTTTCGCTACATAAAATATTATTCCTGGGAATCGACGGCCATATATGGGACTGTTAAAGAAAATGCCCATATTTGCAAGTGCGTTAGTGAATAACTCCTCTATACGCATGGCATTAAATCCGGCACAGTGAATAAACTTATGGCGAACAAGCGGTGCCTGTACTCAGGACGCTACAATCATCAGGTCGAATCCCGTGTTGTCGGAAAAGAGAAGTCACCATAATGAGGTGTTAAATGCACGCAGAAACATGAGCTGTCCTCTATGGCAACGGTAGCCGCTAGCGAAGCCAGGGTTGGTGGTGACTGCGTTCAGTCGGGCCCGAGAGTCCTTGAGAGAGTGGCGGCAGTTTCTTTTGAAGGTTTGTGGGGAACGGGCCCAGGTGGTGTCCAAATGATGCGTATTGCATTTACCAGGTTGGTAGACGCATTGTATACAGAACCCAGAGTTGTCCTCTCAGGCGAAGACAGGCCTTGTGTTGACTGCGTCCAGTCGGGCCTGGGAGTCCTCGAGATAGTGGCGGCAGCTTCTTTTGTAGGCTTGTGGGGCTATGTAAAGGGGTGTCCAATTAGTGCCTTGCATTCGCCAAGGATGGGGGAGGGTGTGGTGTTTAAGTGGCTTATGTTGTTTTTGTTGTTGTCGGGATGAGGCTGCATCGGCAGCTGCGACTGTGTGGACGCAGGTGTATCCGAGCTGATGTCGGTCTAGTTGCTTCAGATCAGCGAGTCTGGAAAGATTAGTTAATAATGGTGAATAACCTGGAGGCATGGAGGCTTTGGACAAGGACACCAGGCATGACCATGATGACTGTCGGCAATAAACTTCCCCAGGGCTTATTTAGCTTAATATCACAACACAGTTAGCGTACCCCAGGGACTGCCCTATTCCCGCTGACGACTATCAAAATTACACTGAACTCCGTTAGGACTGAACAAAATGCACAATATTGTTGTTTATATAAACGGCAAATTGTAATACGACACAAGGACCAATAGATGCATCCTATGTCATCTAACTGTCCTCGCATTACTTTCCATCCAAATCAAGTGGTCATAATTGAGTAAAACAAACCACCCCTGGTCCAAAATGACAAATTGAGTATCTTAACTGCAAGCTAATGACCAGCTTTTGGCACAATGTGATCAGCTGCTCGCCAGAAAGGTTTCGACACTAATTGAGCGCGTGCTAAGGCTCTAAATACCGTACATTTGCTTTAGAATATAAAGATACACGGAAGATGGAAGTCGTTTCGAACCCCGTGCAGATACAGCATATTCTTGTGGAAATGTCTTCCAAAATACGATTGTATGGACCGAATTCGTAGGTCTCTTTAAAAATAAGACCTCATTACAAAAGCGAATGTACTCTTCAGCAAAAACAAAACGTTCTCTTATCGATTTTCTACTTTAAAAAGACTTTGGCATAGGGTTCAACCAAAGAAGGCCAAATTCACCCACACATTTCCTAATTATGCGCAGAAGGTTAAGTGATAAACGTTCTCTATTGCTATGAATGTGATAGTACATTTTGTTTAGGACGCATGAGATCGTCTTCGTGTTGGTTATGGATTGTTTCTTTCCGTTAGGCCCATTCTCAGCCATTGTTCTATTATTAATATCTCTTCAGAGCTTTGGCTTGACTAGAGTTGATAACACTAGCTAGTGGCTCATACGGCAGTCCTTCGACTCCTAGTTTCCCCACCTGTGGGGGAGTTAGTGGTGACCAAGGTAAGTCCCAACATCCTAGTACTCTTTTCGCCGCACCCAGTAATAAACCCATTTAGACACCGTAAACATTGTTTCCAGTGATTCCATGTGAGCATGTTAGTTGCAACCATTTTCCGTGACCATTTTAAGTTCGCATTAACCATAAAATGTGGGCCTAACATTTTGCGCAGACGAGTTTTGTTGAATAAATATTTTCGATTAAAAGTAATTGCACAATTGTGGGGGAGGTGTGTTTCCCTCAACTACTTCCTTTCTGCGTTAACGCAATATTTATGATGTTTTGACTGTCATGCGTTCATAAAACCATTTCACATAAAATTTCTGAAAATGTTTTTGGCGTGACTGGGGGAAAATGAAAAACGGGAAAAGCTACTTAATTTGGTAACGGTTTTCATGACACTACTGACATACAGATGTAATTCTGTAAAAGTCCCCAGTTTTCCATTCATATCAGTGATTTTTCAAGGGATGGAGATGAATAATCGGCGTCTAAATTTTGTAGTAACTTCTGAATTGTTTATAAGCCTTATTCGCGGTCAAGAGTCGCGAGTATACTAAACACCATCTCAAAATGACTTATTGTTCCTCTGAACTACAGTCTAGAAGTACTCTGCCATAAATGTTAGTCTCTACCGAAAATTGTTTTTCTTCTGGTAGTCTCGGCAACTAAATTCAAGCAAAATGCACATGCAGGAATTGCTAGCCACTCATTTGTAACAATATAAGCTTTAACAGAGTCATTAATGCAAAATAAATAAAATGCTTTTTCGCAGAGCAGAAATACACAGCCTGTACGGAGTACATAGAAGTCAGAGACTCGTTATATTAACTACACGACTCCGTTTTGTGTCCATGCACATAACAACCCGTTTAGTGATTCATACAGAGAAATAACAAGAGATCATCGTCTTTTGTGGCGTATGAAACAGAGATCTTGATCAAAATGACTGCTGAGAACGGATTGTCTGAATGTTGCCCTGGGAAACGACTCGAGTCATGAAGTTTAGACAGCACGTAGTCATTTATACGCTGCCTTTGACAAGTCAACGGCTTCATAGAGACCAGAATTATGTAACAGACTGGCTGCGACTATCAGTGCTCAATCGCCGGATTCGTCGATTGCGTACTTCGTGGAAGGCCAGCGCACAAAACCGTCTCAGAAACAGTTCACGGTCCTAACCAAATGGTTCAGTTTCTAAAAAACTACTAACTAGCGGCAGTTCTTACAGCATATGAAGGCTTGATAGGAAGTAGAAGCGATCGATAGAACAGGGTATTTATTCGCCTGACCTTTCGGATTCTTACTTGAACCCATCATCAGAGACAGTGACAGTTGTACACAGACCGGGGGCCAACATAAGGCCTCAGGTGATGAGACCAAAAGACACACTGCTACGGCAAGAAACATCTAGAGTAGTTTACCGGATCTGGTGCAGTTGCGGGCAAAGCAACTACGTCAGCAGCACTGGATGACTGCTCCGGACGCGAATTGCCGAACACTCAGCAGCGGTGCGGAGAAATGACCCCAACTCTCGACCACACACTCAACTTCCATGAGGCCGAAATTCTCGCGAGAGTGGATAATCGCGTGAGCCGCGAGTTGCTTGAGTCATGGTTCACTGGGCCCTAGTCTATCAACAAGTGTAACGACATCCCCACTCCATATTCCGTGCTGAGGCATGCTCTGGCCATATTACTTGACCACTCGGGGAGCGCGCAAGCCAATGAGCCAGATGGCCGAGCAATCAGCACGCCAGGCTCCAACACGGGTGATGAACTTTCAGCAACTGACAACTTGCATGCCGGCCATCAAGCAATTAGCGCACAAGCGGGCAACAATTCGTAATAAAGGGGAGAGCGGTTAATTATCATAGGTTTGCGGTAGCATAGTGACTACGCCCCATAATACTGAAACCTCATGTGCACGCATCACTCGCTTCTGCCACTGTCCCTAATGGCGGGTTAGAGTGAGCATCCGAAACGTCAGGCAAATAAAGCCCTTGTTCCAGCGATCGCTAATAATTCTTATCATCTAGTTCCTGCAGTTCGCATCTTCGTTCGTATCGGCAATAAGAAGGCTTGCAAGAAAGAATGCGAAACCGATTTCGGAAACGCTCTGTAGGAACGAAGGAAGCACGTAGAAATTGTTGGCTGTCAGATGATGTAGATTAAAAGGGAATAAATGACTAATTGTTTTTAGCCTACTCGTATTCCATGACATTTGACAGAATAAAGGAAGGCTTTAGAAAAACTAAACACATTCTACTGCCATTCAAATCAATATTTTTCTTAACACGCATAAATCCTAGATGAGAAAATCACGTTTTCTGCAATGGTATAATCGCTATCAGAAAAAACAGTTCGCAGCGATACAGTAGTTTCCGTAAGCATAATCTATGTTATCTAAAAATCCGCTGGGCCAGCATTTTATAACCACCCTTTTGCATGTTTAGTCCCAGGAATTTCTGTAGGACTCTTGGGCTAAAGACCATTAGGCTTCTTATACTTTTTCAAAAAATATCGGTAATGATTTGACATTGCTTTTATCCTTAATAGCTGCTGGCCACCTCTAGCATTTTGATCGCCGTCGAAAATACTCTGTCTATGCCAGTAACCAGAATCACTATACACCAGTTTATTTGAGTATTTGCTCCATTTTCAAAAAAATTCAATTGCTGCGAGGAATGCACTGCAATAATGGCTTCTGCCCTCCTTTGAAGCCTACAGCCCACCCACGCTATCTTTGGCTGTGCGAGAGTAGAATAATTTAAAAGTTCCCGGGCGGTATGTACTGAAAAAGAACACAGGGAAATTGCGTATTCTGCCGCTAGCAATTGAGTTTTGTTCTTGCTAGGACATTTTATGGGCATGGTCTTGATGAAAGATTCAGAAAGTTTAAAAACATGACGACAAAAAGGTGTTTCACACCCATTGCCGACATTGCTTACACGCCCGGACGACTAACGAACATTGTTTGTAAACTGCCGCTAAGTACCCACGCCCGAAATAGAAACTTTAGCTATAGATGGGCTTGCATAGTACTTTTAGATTTATCTAATCGTTCGTGGCTCACCCTACAAGAATCTGTTAAGTCTGCAATTTCACATCCGCGACCTTAGCAGACGAAGGCATAGGTATTAAATACAGTCTAGACACACGTATATCGACGACCACGAGTTGCTGGACGACGCAGCTACTAGGCCGTCGACTCAGTGGACGCCGCGGCGTCCCTTCTGAGTTTTCTTGGATGTGAACCCCAGTTCACACGCTGACCTTTTTGGCTTTCTCTGAAAATACAGTGAGAACTTGTACCTAGTCCTTTAGAACTAAGTCTCCAAAGCCTGTGCAGAATGTGACAATTAATATTTGGCCTAATTTTACCAGCTACTGCGGAATGGTGAGGTAACATTCAATAACTCTAGTGGGCAGCTAGTAGGATTAAAAACCTTTGTAATTTGCCATGCCGACAGAACAACCACAAAATGACCCATGCAGCGCAGCCGTAATCATGATTTCGCTGTTACCAAAGCACGCTCACCTGTACAGCCCACACTCTCGCGTCATTTCCGATTAGCCACTTAGGAGCCTATCCAGTTTGCTCATCGAGCCGTTAGCATGATAACTATGCAACAACCACCTAAAGGTGAAAAATAGGTCACAAAATGCTATGACATCATCATCATCATCATCATCATCATCATCATCATCATCATCATCATCATCATCATCATCATCATCATCATCATCATCATCATCATCATCATCATCATCATCATCATCATCATCATCATCATCATCATCATCATCATCATCATCATCATCATCATCATCTTTCACGTACCTCGTCACCTTCGTCCTATTCACCACGAATGACTGAATTTAACATTAAACACTTGCAGAAACATCAGAGAAGCAATCGCCTATTTTGGAGCATTTTAAACTGAATCCAAAAGGCCTCCTTGGCCCACGCAATAAATTATGCAAATTCGCCTCCGATTATGATGCTGCAGTCGTCATAATTAATTATCTATCAGAAGGGAATATTGATTGAAGCAATATATCCCCGGAATGAATTTAAAGCAAGCAAAGACAGCAGAATATAATGGTACCACTTAAGTTCGCGACGGCTTCTCAACTGCAGCCTGACGTTGCATAACACAAATCACAAGTGAGAAAGGTTCAAACGTTTGAATTTCGACAGAGAAAATCAATATAAAACAGCAACGTCAACGCATACTCCACGTAGACTAATTAATAGTATGATAACTTCAAAATGCAACATAGGAAAGAAAATGGGGGGAGGAAAACATTCCGAGGGATTTAGAAAATCAAAATGGGATCAGGTCTATCGGGGCAAGCTAAGGTTGACCACGTGGTCTAACTTTTTACGCAGGTCGGGCTTCTTCTGCTGTATATAGGCTGCCTCCAGGTAGCGCAATAACTGAGTAATTTGTGCTCTAACTAATACTCGAAAAGAAGTTTTGGGGTCAACCGAATGGTCACTAACAAGAAGATGTTTTTCTGACCCAAATCAATCCAATGGTCCGGTGTTTTTAATATCGGTCTCGCAAATGACGTCCGGTTTAGTATTTGCGCACTTAAAAACGCGTTTTGGGCTAAAGGTAATTATCTAAACCGCTAAAGTTCTATCTGTGTGTGCACCAAGCATTGCCAGTTGAATTTAGTAATTCTTTTATTTCGAAACATAGTCATGTGTTAGCAATTTATCTCAGATTGGTTTGCCAGGTCAAGAGATACAGTTGCACAACATCGATTTAGATCTAACCGTTTATTTGTGTAGAAAAAATGCAACCAGATGCTGAGCGTTGAGACAACAGACTTATTCTAAAACTTACTGTGGCTGAATGGAATTTAGAAGCATTTCGTCCGAGTAGTCCGACGTCATTTCCATAGTCTTTTTGAAAATATCTGCGGCAGAAATCGTGTGCGGTTAACCCGTGATGTACTTTGTTTCTCTAATGAATATCTACGATGGGTGACTAAGTTCACAAAACTCGCCGACGGCAATCGCCGCCCTGAGTCCTGGGTAACTCAGATTATGTGGATTTTGCTTATTAGTCTCACGTATTAGGCGAAAATTTATCTACACGCGCCAACTGTCTGTCTGAGTAAGTTATTAACGAAAAGTGCATATTCTGGAAAGAATCAACCATTTTTTATATTCAGGCAATTTATTATGCTAATGAATGTCCTAGCCAAAAGCAGCCTATTTAACGTAGTTTGCCTCGTGAAGTTACTCTAAACGTAGGAAGCCTACTCCAACAAAACGCCATCCTTGAACGTGATTTTTTCTTACGAATAAATTAGGTTAGGCAAAGAGCAAACATTCAAGCACTTTTCACAAAACAATGATTTTTAGGCATTACGATTCCTAATTTTGGATCTGCGAAATTATTCTCCTGTCTTTTTACTGCCATGCGGTTAAAACACTTTTACTCCAAGTTGGCAATTACTCGAAAGTTTGATATTCACCGGCTATTCTTTTGAGGATTTAAATTATGCTTAAGCACTAAGATGCTCTACACGAGATGTAGTTCTAATTTTTATGCAATTTTGAAATATAATAATCGTCGTCGTCTGAAAACAGTTACTTTTGTGACAAATTTATGACCTATCTAAAATACCAGTAAGAGTTCGTTATTAAAAATGAAAAGTAGTTTTTGATCTAGGGTAAAATTGTTGATAGATGCTAAAAATATACGGGCGGAAAAATATTTTAAATGGAAGTAAAACCTACCATCGCTCTCAAAAATAGCCAAAAAGCCTTTGAAAAGTAATTTGCTATAACAGATATGTGCTTATTTAAACTAATATCGCCATATTGATTAATCGTCTAAAATAAATTTGTTTAAGATCGATGTTCGCGTATGAGAAAGTTCACGAGGATGACTTAAGCCGTAATCCGCCCGCCGACTAATAAAACACGAAAAAGAAGCATTCGAGCACCGTCATTTTTGAAAGATCAGATTAGTACATAATAACATCGCCGTCTTTTGGACGACTAAATGCAGGTACCAAAAATTTAAAGAGTTCACTGTTATTCGAAGAACGTTTTGAAAATAAACGAACCCTTATCGTCGCCAAACATGATTTAGAAAGTTTGCAAAAAACAAACTATTCCGTGTTCTTGAAATGGTAAGCTTGGAATTGCTACCGCGTACAGCATGTTTATTTCCAAGTACATGATCATTTTTTGGTATGCGAGCTTGGGAAATCCCTTATTCCTACAAAGATTGATTCTCAATTTTAAGAGATTGTGATATACCCCAAAACATTGGCTGGCTGTCGCTGTGAATACTATTCTAATGCCACGAGGATGAATTCTTTGTCTATACCGTCTTCTTTAATGCAGTTGTTTGCATGGTCCTATAAATAAAGGTTTGCAGTTTGACATGAGCTTCTGCAGTACAGATTATTCCCTTTTTATTTTTAGAAGCACACCATTCAGTCGAATGTGTCATTGCCTTTAAAAATCATTGGCAGCAACGCTTAACTGCAGTTTATTCGTTTGAAAACTTTTCATCCTCACGGCAGGGGTCATCTTCAGTGCTTTAAGGACTTTTTTACGTCTCGATAGTTTTGATTGTCGTGTGATTTACCGACACGGTTGCTGCCTCTGACGATTGAGTCACTTGCCAGTCTGAAACATCAGGGGATAAAGCTCTTGTTCAAACAAACGCATCTCCTTCTTTCCGATCCTACACTACTTGTTCCATTGGACAAGGAACACTGTGTGTCCCTACAACAGGCCACAGTATGGATGCGATTGATCAAAGAGGAGGGTCAGGTCACGTGTTAAGTGGACCACGCAGATGCCATGCTTGGCTTTAAACACCGTTGGATATGCAAAAAACATTGCCAACGAACGCCCAGACACAAATGCCTAGGTACCGGGCCGGTAACTGCACCCAGTCCCGATACCAGATGGTTGAGGGGGCCAGACAACTGACCGGGGCACAAGGGAGGGAAGAGAAAGTAATATCAACTTTGGAAAGATCATCGCAACCGCACTTTACTATTTATCGCCCTGTAAAACGACTGACGCGCATGTAACTATTAGGGCGTGCTCAATGTTTTCGCTTAAATGTATGTCAATTGTCAATTTAAGGGCACCGAAAATCAATGAGAAAAATTCATTCTACTTAAGCAGTAATTTTTGGAGTGTGATTTCTGCATGTGACCGTAAAGAAATGCGTTTGAAAACTGGCATCTCGAGGTCACTGAATTATTATAGAATAATGTCGCGAACCGATTAATTTAAAAAATCTTACTAAGTGATCTTTTTGGAAAGAAAAAAACATTTCAGAATTTTGGTTAATATTTCATGACTTACGACACCTACTGTAGGGGCGCAAATGTCCCAGGATTCACATATAGAATGACAGCTTCGATTTTTTTTCAACAGATAAAAATACTGCTGGGGCGAATTGTCCCCGGAATCTGTCACTCAACTGCAGTAATCTCAAGTGTATGTACTGACAGACAGGGTTATTGAGGGAACGGCGACATTTCTCAACTTGGCAACTCCTCGATGGAAGCAGAATTTGCAGTTTTCGAAAAAACCTATTGTACTGCATAGCACGGTCACATCATGAAATTTAACACTTCATAAAAGCGGCTTAAAACAAATAATTCTACCTTTCAGGCACCAATTGAAACAGTCCTACCATATATTACAATGGAAATAAGCATTCTAAAACCAAATGTCTTATGCTGGTGTCTTAATAAAGGTTCATTTCGCAATACCTGAATTCATAAAACCAAATCCTGAGAAAACTGCCGATGTTTATTATTTCTCCGAGTATCCTCATATGCATAAAATATTTAAGGGAGCTGTAGGCATTCGAAATATAGGATACCTACAAGCTGTAATTTGAATAAGGTTATAAAATTTGCCAAATTTAGTCGCACTTCTATACTTAAAAGACCAACTCGGTTTCTTTCTCAGAAAGCATTCTACTCCTTTTATGGTCGCCTTGAGCAAACGAGCCTTTGGAGATCAAAGTAAGTATATATTTGGTATAATCGGAAAAAGCAATCTCTGCAATATAGTTATCTATTAGTGAAGTACTAATAGGATATTAATTATATGAATTACGCAGATGGACTGAGTGACAAACAGAAGTATAAACAACGACTGAGCAACAAGCATACTATCTTGAAGACTGTAAAAATCAGACCGCTTGTCCTAGTTGTACTTAGTTAGTAGTATTATTAACAAACATGAACGCAGTTCGGTCACTATCCTTTTGTAGCATGCAGTGTGCAACTTTGCAGGGAAAGATATCGAAAATCAGACAGGGATTTAGTATATTAATTTTTTTTACCGAAGACAAGTTAAACTTTGGAAAATGGGCATATTTTTGGCGGCGAGTGAGCAATCTCAAGTAATAATTCGCGGCTTCATCATGGCGAAATGTGTATGCTATCTTATTTTATTAGGAGGCGTCGCGAATAGCCTTTTAAAATTACGGTGAAATAAGGCACTCTTTAACTTAAAGTTCAATTTAAGTGGGTAAAGTTCGCGCTTGCGACTTCTTTCAGGCCATCTAAGAATTCACGTCGCACCTTCATATCCATTTAATGTTTAAGACAACTAACATTTTAAGGTATCATCGGGTTGACTCTAAATACTTCCCGAATAGGCCTATCGAATAAGGTACTATATTTTTTCCTACAGAGTGTGGCGAAAGTATGAACGTAATGTCTGCGTTAAGGGTGACATTTATTTTTCCACCAGCTAGCCATTTAAAGGTATTCCAATAAACTATTGCTAAGAAATGGCTCTGTCGTATGAAACAAAAAGTTTCGTTTCTACACAGTTCCTTCGAATTCATAGATTTTTCACAGTTTCAGCAAAGCATTCTGCTGTTTTAATCGGTTCCTCTTCCACAAGACAACGGACAAGGGGTGAATTAACAAAAGGCATCATCTTCTATGCAAAGCGGTTAGTGGGTGAGTCCTATATAACGCGGAGGGAATGCAAAGTGTATTTTGCAGTGTTCCCGGATTGTGTATTCGGTACGTTGTGATTTAGCCAAAACAACCCTCAAAATGAACGGAGACCGTAAAAAGGATAGATTGTTTTGTCCCCTTCGTGTAAACATATGCGGGAAATAAAATCCGAATTCAAAGAGAATTTCGAGATGGTCCTGATTCCTGGCCCTGCTGTACAATGAAATGTGAAATATTTAAGAAGTAAGTGTCGGCAAACCATTGGTTGGATTATTCATAATCCGGTCTAGTGTGCTTCACGGTAAATGGGCTTAATCTAAAACACAGCAAGTAGACAATAGCGATGGGAGATTGACTGTGTCCAGACATGTCCGACCACGGAGGAGATATAGTGGTCTGGTTCTGACAGGGGGAACGGGGTGTGCCAATGGGGTATGCTTGAGTTTGGTTGCTGTACCGCGACGTGGTAGGATGCGAACGAGGACTTGGTGAATGTAGCTTGGGCCATGGTATCTGGAGGACTCGAACAAACTATTTTTTCGAATAAAAGTTGCTTCGGAGAACCGTATGTGCACTGTATCTGTGGTCGAAAATAAGCTCCGCACCTGTGAATTTAGTGTCACGCCAGCATTTTGTTGATGATTTTAACCGGTTGGTTGGCGCCTGTCCAATGGCTGCTGTCAGTCAGATGAACCGCGGCTGCGCTAGAGACAAAATTGCTCTAGCCAGGTGGGATGACATTCTTGCATCCATTTAAAAAGCCGTCTAGTCCTTCGACCAATACCAATTGTCCCACTGGAGCAAAGGAATGTGCAGATGCATGTTTGAAATGCGTGCAGGCATGCATACCATAGTACTCTTTTATATACTTCTGGCGCAGATTGTTGTGCCATTTTAAATTCAAGGAGCATCTATACCAATATGGTTTTAATAGCT